TACAAGGCTGGTATAGAAATTGCATGGGTGTAGAAAGACACCTGATACATGAGAAGTGTTCTGTAAATGTTAGCTATTATTATTAAAAGTTTTTGATGGGTCATATAATAATGTTACATTTATAATTGGATTGTTTAGGTGATTTAAAGTCTTCTCTGGGAGCAGTTTAAAAAAAAGATTTGAATATCTATGATCTGAATATCTTGCTCTTATTTTTCATTGTACTCTGTCCACTTAATTTGGTATAGTTAATGCAACCACCTCCCCCGTAAAACCAACATATTCTGTTGTGAGTTCAGCTATACTTATGAGTATTTAGCTCCTCAGCCAGAATACCAGTTGTGTAGGACTGAGAATGTAGCTCAGGGATAAAGAGATTGTCTAGCATGCACAAGGCCCTGTGTGATCTCCAGGAACACACACACACACACACACACACACACACACAATACAAGTGCAATGAGAGCCAACTGCAGTGGCACAGGCCTATAATCCCGGTTATTCAGGAAGTTGAGGCAGGAGGATTGCAAGTTCAAGGCTAGGCTTGAAAATTTATTAAGACTCTATCTCAAAATAAAAATTCGAATACAGCTGAGGGTGTAGCTCAGTGGTAGAACATCCTTAGGTTCAATCCCCAGTAACGCGCACACACACAGGGTGCAATGAATTATTATAATTCACTTTCGATCACAGTGATCTGCACCAAACCTGAAACACAGATAATCCAAGATGATTGGGGCTTTACAGTCTTGTGCATTTTACTTGATCTGAACACATAAAACAGGAGTTATCTTTGAATAGAACATATTTTTCAGAAAACAGAGTTCTTTTAATTAAAAACATTTTTTAAAAGTTCAGTCTGTTATTGTTAACACCTGCTATGTTACCAACAGATGTTTCTTATTCACCTAGGGGAACTGTTATAATTATTATATATGCTTACTGGGTGGCATTTACCAAGATAGGTGAGAAAGTTTGGTTGGTGACTTTGTATGTAATATTTGATATTTGGGAGGATGTACACTGGAGATTGGACTCAGGGGTGCTTTGCCACTGTGCTACATCCTCAGTCCTTTTTAAAATTTACTTTGAGACAGGGTATCACTAAATTTCTGAGGCCAGCCTTGAACTTGTGATCCTCCTGCCTCAGCCTTCCTAATCACTGAGAATAACTGTTATTTTCTTTAAGTCCTTTCCCCTGTTGCTGTCAGTCCCCACAAATCCATCTCAGCCCAGTTCACCAAAGGCAAAAATGTCCTTTGTGGTAACAAGGCATTTACAAAATGGGCATTAATCATGCATATTTTAGTCTTTATGATATTAAAATTAAATTACGAGTATACAAAAGCATTGTCAAATTTACCTTTGTTTTAGCAGCTAATCCTGATAGTGTTCAATCTGGAAGTCTTAAATCTTTATTATAAATGTAAAAACTATGCCTTTTAGAAAGATAACACCCTCCTAATAGCTTGGCTTCAAAGGAAGCTGTATTAAGAACGAGTTTTCTTTATTTTTTTCAGAGCTCTTGTAAGCAGTAGGCTTTCTGAATTCTTCATTTATGATACTAATCATATAATTACCCACAGGCATGTGTTAAATATGACACTGATTTCAGCCAAATAATGGGCCAATTGCAAAAAATGAATAAAGAGAGGCAGCTCCATTTATAACCGACATTTCTACAGAGCTCTATTGTAATCATAGTGATCTGAGGGTGACTCATTAATTAATTGATGTTCTTTTTTATTATGTGCTATTGAGTTAATGAGTAATTTGTGTGAGATAATTCTCTGAAAACATTGATTACTTGAGATATTTTCTGGGGCTTTCCTACCAATGACATGCTGAATAGGTAGAAGATGGTATTCATATCTATGTGCTCATTATTAGCAGGTTTGGGATAAGAACAGAGCAGTGCAATGATACTTTGACGTTATTGGATGTGTGAAGCACCCTAAGTCTGTACATGGGTGGCTGAGTGCTCAGGGCAAGGCCTGGCACATAGTAGGCCCTCAATAAATGTCAATTGAAATAATGGTTCTCTCAATCCTTTGCTGTTACCCTAGATTGCCTTAAAATCAAATTTTAAAATCTTCTATAATGGTGTTCTTAAGAAAAAGTAATGATCGAAAGACTTTTTCTAAAATTGTAGTCTGCTAATGGCCTATTACAATAAACACGCAGATTGTTTTTGCAAGTTACTGAAGTGAACACCACACGTTTGGCCTCTATCATTTCTATGAAATTGTTTAAGTGACTATTCAGAGAGTGGTTTGCCTAAAGTGATAGTTAAAATGAAACCACTTGTGTATGGCATGTTTTACTACAGATATAATTTTCCCCCACCCTGTTTCAATTAAGGCACAACATATCTTTCTTGAAAATGAGGGATTTCGTTTTTTGTTTTAATTCATTATAGAGAAAATAGGAAATGTGAAATTTAGTCTGACGGCAACACAGTTGCTTTCAGAAAGATCACTTAAAATTTGTATAAGTGTACAAAAATTATATCCAGCAATTGCTACTTTCATTTTTGACAATTTTGTTTTTCCCACGAAAGTAAATAGCAGGCAACTACCTACCTCAGAGATCCTAAACATTATTTGGAGAAAGTATTTGAGGTACTTCCTCTATGCTTGTGATGATTTACCTTGAGAAAGTCAATGTCCTTGTAACTCTTTTCCTTTTTGCATGGATTTAATGCATACTTTCTAGATATCAGCCTCAGTTGTACCAATTAAGTGTTGTTCGATGGTGGAAACCCCTTGTATTAAAAGCATAAACCCAAATATAAAAAGGAAATGAATGAAAGAATCCAGCAGATATTTATTAAGCAAGATGAAAGTGAAATTACAAACACAGGTCAGCTTTTAAGCTCAGTAAGCACGCTGGTGGAGTGGAGATGACTGGTCCTTCATTGTAAGCAGCCAGTTGGAGACGAATGTTAGGGAAGGGAGCTTTCCTTCTTGCGAAATCCAAGCTCCATCGGAGCTGTCCTCCTGGAACATCAGGTAACAAGCTAAGAGACACCAGGGCTACACAACACAGAGAGGAGAGTTGACAACAATTCAGGGGCTTTGAGCCGTCAAGACAATTAGTTTAGTACTTCAGGTCAAAAATGCTACTGTTTATGGGCAATTAGCTGTAAAACAGCCTACATCCTGAAAGATGATTCCTGTCTTGTTTCACAGTTTCATGGAGATTAAAGATGATCTAAACAGAATAAGGCCTTAATCTTTAATCCAGGTAAGTAATTTTGTTTGGAGTAAAAAGCGTTAAGAATTAAATCCTGAAGGATTAAGCAAAATAAAAAGTTGTGAAAATCTTGTTCAGTAGTGGGGTGGCAAGGATACTTGAACAGCTTCAAGAAGCAGAGAGAAGTTTCCCCCCAATTTATAAGTTCTCTTTTTCTGACATATTGATAAAAATATGTAAAACTGCTTAAATTTGAAAAAGGTTCATTTGAAAAAGATACTGACAAACTTTTAATGGGGTCTAACAGGGCTGCATTATGAGAACCTCTTCTGGTTTATCTTCTCCCCCTCCTGTTTTTGCTTTGTCTTGTTTTGTCAGATTGGGACTACATAAATATTATCTCTTCATGAAACAAATGTAAGGCTCGAAGGGTAAAATAATAATTACTTTGTGGGCCCCAAATGGCTATTTTTGAGATTCTTTCTTCAGTATATTTCAAATTTGGGGGACATGTGACTTGAACACTCTTAACCATGAAGCATTTGTAAAAATACATATCATTCACTTCTCACAGAACCATTTTCTTAAAAATAAGAGGCAATATTCAGATTCACATGCATGTTCATAATAAAGCTTTGTTTTAAAACAACTCAAATCCACACCAGCATTATCTTCAGCTTAATATTTTGGCCCCAAACCAAGAATTCAGGTATAACATGTAATTTTCATTGTAATGCGTACATTGGCAGGACAAGATATGTATGCAAATAACACTGGGAAACACTGTTCCCTTTACAAGCGATCAAGGAAAAGTAAAGAAAGAAAACCCACAGCACTAAGTTTGCTCTAGTAAAAATGTGGTTCATTGTGACTGTGTGGAATGAGATTTGTTGAAAAGGAGTTCCTTTACAGAGACAAGGAGGAAAGTGTGAGCCACCCAGAAGGGGCCATATTCTCATTTTTTATTTTCTTCATTATAATTTAAATAATCATTCTCCATAATTTCTGTTTCTAGAGCTTTCTTCTTTATCAGCTATCATTAAGGTAAGGGAATGATATTTCACCTTTCAAAAATGGAGTGACAGAATTTAGCCTAAGTGTAAGATATTCTGAGTTGGTAATTACGTTAAGTGATGAGAAAATATGACATACCAAACTTAAAGCATTCATTTTTTGAACATTAAATGGTAGGCAAATAGAGAAAAATAGGAAATCACCAGTTCTCAGCTTTTTATCAATCCTTTTGTTTCTCTTCTTCTAGAAGATTCTATAAGCATGATGTTAATGATCAAAAGTAACCTCACTACTCAAGTACCATCATAGCTTCAATGTGCATTACCATCATTTCAGAAGATTCACACTCAGATATTTTCAGTGCCATAAATTCATTTAGCCCAGTGATTAAACCCTTAGCTCCTGTGGAGAGATCTGGGCAACATTTATACAAGAAATTTATCAGTTGAAAATTATCTCATAATTGTGGCAATACTTTTTTAAAGTAACCCTTTGGAAAAATTTTATATGATACCCAAAGGCACTAGTTCACATAGGGGGTGTGGCTGGAAAAATAAGATAAAGCTATTGTGTCAGTGAGCACAAAAAAGGATACTGAAAGGATAATCGTTAAGCTTTAAAGGTATTTCAAAAATGGCACTTTTCACGTTGGTATAAAATCAAAGTGCTTTAGGATGAATTTTATGCATTTTTTTAAAGCTGATCTTTAACCCCCTGAAAATAGGGGGTTATAATGAGAACACTGATAGACTCTAAATCATAGTGGCAATAAGTAGTAGATGTCACTAAAATGCTTTGTGTGTGTCTTTATTTTTTAGTACTTTTAATGTTGATAGACTTGCTTTATCTATCTGTGTATCATTAGTGAGATTTTTCTCTTCAATTCTTTACTAGAAAGTTACAGCTCATTTAAAATAGCTGGTAGATACAGAAAGCATAAATATACAGTAAGTTTAAACACTGATTGTACTAAATGCAACAATACAAAGAAGCAAACAGAACACAAATGGTAACACAATAAAACTGTATTACATTTGTGCTTCAAATATTACAATACATTATATACAATAGTCCAAAATAAACATCTCATGCCAAGTGACACAAAAACGAATAGCAAGCAAAAAAATCCAGCAATATGTACATTACTTTTTTTTTCTTTAATAATAAACATTCAACTCTGAACTGGGGCAATTTTACTACATACAGATGCAGTCCGCCTTTTATTCCATATAACCATCCTGCTTCCCTATATCTACGCTATTCAGTTGGCTCCTGTGTCAATTCTTATATACATGTGGAGCAAAAAAGATAAAAGAATGTAGTGCTTTGTATTCATAATGGGGTGATGTTGATAGATCAGCGAACCTGGGGTGCATAACCTTCTTTCATTAAACCTTCCTCGTAGTCCGTCTGGCAAAGGATCATGTTATTCTTTAGGAAAAATTTGTCTCCAACACAAAATCTGAAAAATATTTAAAAAGAAGTGTGTTAAGACTATTTCATTCAGATCTATAGACTTGAAAATTTACTTCCTAAAGACAGACTCCCCTGATAATTTCCTAAATTTGAAAGCTTGGTTTAGGGAGATACCTTCATTATCAAAATTAAACCATCTAGTTTGCTTAATGAAACACTGCCTATACAACATTTGAAATTCCATCTTTAAATAGAAAAATTGTAGAAACTTCAGAATACCTGGGACACCACAGGTGACTTTCTTCCCTTTTCTTTCCCTCCCTTTTTCTTTTACCACATTGGAAAGAAAAAAAGAACTGATCTATATTTGTACTCGTTAAGATAAAACAAAGAATGATAATATTTCTCTGTCATGAGTTATGGAAGATTTCATCATTGTCCATTTATCTACCTAATAAAAAAGTAAAAGGCATTAAAATGAATGAAAGAATTAGAAAATAGCCACTTGTAAAGTTTCCCATTAAAAGCTTCTTTTTACTCTGTTATTAAAATGTGACTAAAGTCTAATAATTTGGAAGTGCTCATTCTGAATTGAAAGTTCCTTTAGCCCCAGACTGGGATTCTGAGCCATATTCCTTTGTTCGTGGCCAGTATACAACTATGAAACGGTAGATGTCATTTCTTGGAGCCCTTCCAATTAAACCAAAGGGAGTAACCTAAATGATCTTCTTAATATTGATGTGATAAATAAAACTAGTTTTCAGTAGCTAATTATGCATTTTATTTTATAAAGCACTATTCAATGTGCAAGATTGTAAGCTTTTTTAATAAGTGCTCTTTTTGTATAATTTCCCAATGGGTGACACTTTGGACACAATTAAGGTCAGAAATAAATGCTTGTGCTGTTTCCAGTACATTTAACAATAAAGTAACTCTGGGGAGATCTGTATATATATTTAATTGTAACAATTTAACCTTCAAACAGTGCTGTTTGGTAGACTTGACCCAGTAAAACTCCTTGTAATTATACAAGTTGACCTCACTGACCTTTGATAGTGGTCTCTCTTTATCAGATAGTCAATTTTGAATGATGTTCAGGCAGAAATCTTAGTGGAGAGATTAAATTGTGTAGTGAAAGCCACTCTTTAATGTTTTGTGAAGTTGAAGGTTTAAATGAGGAGCAGTTGGACTGATTTACATTTGCAAAGATTGGAATGCTAGACAAACAGTGAACCTATTTATTTTCCAACTGGGTAGCTTTGGAAATTTATCCTTAGACTAGCTAAGTAGAAAGAAGGGAAAATAGTGTAATAAAAAAAGTAGATTGAAAGAATTAGCTTTCCTCTTAAAGGAAAATTGGTCTGTTTATTTGTGGAATTTACTTTTTTTTTTCCCCTAGGATTACTGTCTGCTGATGATGTTGATTGAAAGTACAGACTATGTACTGATCTTGAGATCCTGGAGTTGTTTGTGGTCAAGGCTACTGGACACAATGAACATTCAACTTTGGGGCTTTAAGTGTATTTTCTTTTTATTAGTTGCAAACTGTATGCTTTCAATGTCACATTTACAAAGTGGTGTTTGATAAACTGGTTTTTGTAGATATCCTGATACCTAAGACATGTTGAATAAATGGAAATGCTTCTCTTGTTGCACTGGCCTCTGCAGCCAAATTAAGTATTTCCATTGTGTGAGAGTACATAAAACAGCAGATAGAATACACTAATTCAAGACAATCACTGTTAAAATTAATTTCATCTAATAAGCTAACAAAATATTACATCGAAAAGAGATTCAATACAATACACTTGTGTTCTAAGCTATTGTTACTGAATCACTTTTCCTAAAAAAACGACTCTTTCAGCTTTATGCTATCTTAAATTTTACTTTAATTTCTTTTCAAGTACCCCAAGTCTATGAACCATCAAATAAAAACCACTCTTTCCTGTCTTGTTATCATATGTAGTTGAATAAATTCAAGGTAATTACAGTGAGAATAGCACAGACACAGAGTGGGGGAATCTAGCCCAAGTCCTGCCCTGATCACTTACCCACTGCAAGGCCTAGGTACATTTCATACTTCCCCTTCTTAGTTCACTAAGATTAAGAGAAGCAGCTGCAGCACTGGACAACAGGGAGGTTTGAATGAAAAGTAAATGAAAGGCAAGACAGGTGTGTTGCAGAGCAGGGTTCAGATCCGAAGCTTCCACTTTCAATAACTGAAGACGAAACTTCAGTTTTTCTTGTTAGTTATATCAGTCACATTGGTAAGTTTGTAGCAAAGAGTAGAAGTGAAGTATGTAGTCTTACCTTGTTGTTTGGATTATAGGTAAAATAGCCACTTTAATAAAGTACTTACCATGTGCTAATACTAAGCATGTGTATATATGATCACATTTATTTCTTACCACCAACCTAGAAAGTAACTATTATCATTGACTTAAAAAAAAAATAAAAACAAAAACCCAAAGATTCTCTCTCAGAATTTTAAAAACCTGCCCAAGTTTCCATAGCTAGGATGTATGTGGTAGAGGAAAGAAAATAACCCAGGTCTCTTCGGATTCAAGAACCATGCTTTTAACCAGGAGCAGTAAAACATGAAGTCTAGAAGTATAATATGAATACTAAACTTCTTTTGCATAACTTTAGAAACCCTGCCTACCATTCAATGGATATTAGATATCTAACATCTTATTGTATGAAAGGCAGACAAATTCTCTCTAGACACACACACACACACACACACACACACACACACACACACACACGGGGGG